ACGCCCTGCAATCCAACCTCAACGTGACCCGCCGTGCGGAGCAGAAGGTGGCTGGACTGCAGAAGTCCCTTGCGGACCGCCAAGGCCTCTGGGAAAAATACGAGCAGGACCTCAGGGCAAGCTACCGCAAGGAGCATGCACGCTTCTCGCGGGATGTTCAGCGGTTGAGAGAGGATCTAGCGAAGGCGGTGGAGGCACAGGAAACGGTGCAAAGAGAGCTGGTTGCAGTGGCGTGGCGTGGACCACGACAAGAAGCACCAGCACCATGTGCTGCCGACGAGGATTTCTTGGCAGCCTGGCGGGCGGAGCCGACTGCCAACGATGCTCAAGAGGTTATCAGAAGAGCACTACAAGCCAACGCTGGCCGTCCACGCATGGATGCTGCCCACCCGGCAGGTGGGGTGGATATGTCAGATCTTGGCCCCTGGTCGAGGAGATCCGAGGTGGTGCCCCAGGGTTGGACATGGTGCAGGAGATGAGAGGGGCTCCCCCCTTGAGCGTGGGGCCACCTACAGCTGCATGGGAGCCCTTGGGCGCTGCCGCGACCCATGTCCCAGAACATGGCCTACCTCGCGATCCATACATGCCGAGCCCCGGTGCCAGGGTAGCGACACCTGTGACATCGCCCAGCCAGCACTACAAGGCCACCGACGGCACTCGCATTTCAGTCAAGACCAAGCCTGCGGTGAGCGCGCCACCAACTGGGGGTGTGACGCTCGGAAGCAAGCTGGAGGCCCGAAGGACAGCCCTGGCCCTTTTTGGGGTCATGCCCCCTGCCCAGGCGCTGCATTCATCGCAGGACAGTCTCGGAGGGGATCATGCCACTTCATCGAACTCGGGCGGCCCCTTCCTGACCGATGCCGAGATCCGTTCGCGCTTAGGCGCCTTCTCCCTGGTGGACGACGACAAGGAAACAGGTGGCGAAGGCACTTAACATGCCGAAGGTGGCGCAGGAGGGAGAACTATTGTAAACGTGGTATTTCCCTGGTGGGCCCGATTCTTGTGAGTTCTGTTGGGTGGAACTCCTCGAATCAGACGCCCCTCGGGTTGAGATGCCGCGCTTACGAGCTTTCCTTTTGTCTTGCGCCCCAGAGCTCCGTGATTGGGCAGGCTGTTAGCGCTGTACAGTTTTGTTGTAGTGTGCAGCCCTTTTCTCTTGAGAAGGCAGCCTCTTCCCAGGCCACCTACCTTTTGGTGAGCCCTTGTCGCACTCTACGATTTTATCCAGGCCCATCCTCGGTCTTCGTCCTGGACTTTGCTTTTGTGTTGAGAGTAGGGTTTTCAGAGGTGCCTAAGAGTCGGATCGGTGGCGCAGGGCCGTCCACCTCGACAGCCCCCTCTCTTCACGAACTGCACTTGGATTTTGGACTTCTCGGCCCTCTTCTGGGAGGTTGCCAATCCCCAATATGGATTTTCGTTGCGCCTCGCAACAGCCGGAATGATCGCTTTTTTCCTGATGAGTTGTTTTTGTTACGCTTGGTGCCTAAGAAACGGATCGGTGGCTCGGGGCCGTTCACCAAGCAGCATCACCTCTCCGTCCCACTGCGTTCTACGGCGAAGGTCATTCCGCCTAGAAGCAATCTCTTTTGGGTCCTAGTTGGCATTTTTCTAGGACAGTTTATCCCCCTTTGCGACAGTTTGAAGACCAGCTTCCTGCGTTTTGTGCCTAGCGATGTTGTCTCATCCTCAGGCGGGCCCCATCCTGAGTACTCCCAGGATTGGATGACCTTCTGCGGACCCG